GTTACCTGCTATAAAGAAAGCTGAAGAATTATTACCTTTATTAGGCCAGTGACACGGAGCTTTAGCCATACATTTCTAACTTCTGTCCCTCTACAGAGACAATTTTCTTTTCTTAAATAAACTGTCATGCTAGTGTTAATATATTGTTGGCTCTCTCATACTCCGAGAATACTGCTGATATAAAACATGTATATGTTAGATTGGTAATAGTATCTTTAGTGTAGCTGACTAGAACAAATGCGTTTCCCTCATGGCTGTGCTAATGTGATAAAGGAAAATTGGCTGTTCATCAGCTTTTGGCTGGGTAAAGACAGTGAAGATGGAACCACATTCTTTTTTATGCATTAATACCACTGAGAACTTTCCACTAGTTGTATTTCATGTTGCCTGCGTGTTGTGTGCAAAGATGTAAAACATGAGATAATGCTACAAATAACAAAGTAGAAAAAGCCTGTATCTTTTATAATGATAACAGTCAAGCAGCAAAAGACAGTAACAGGCTATAAAAAAATGTTGAGCTGGAAAAAAGAAAAACATAGCAAGTAATACCCACTTTGATCCCCAAAGACATTTTCTTTTCTTTTCTTTTTTTTTTGTGTGTTTGTGTGTGTGTTTGTGTGTATGTGTGTGTGTGTTTTGTAAATATTGGACAAATAATATTGATTTTGTGGACCCCTGAAAGGATCTTGGGGTCCCTCAGGAGGGACCACATTTTAAGAAACTGTGTTAATTAATAAAAATAATGAAGAATACTGGATAATGTTCTCTCATTCTCATATGTGAAAACTTTTTTGAACCAAACTATACTGCTAGTCATTATGATAATTACACATCAGATTTTTCACTGGAAAAGTAATAAATTCATTTTTTTTCTCAAACCCACACAATATTGACTACCTCTGGAAATAATAAGAATTTTCAAATTTTCATAATAAGGACCTATATATTCTAAGGACCTATATATTCTATTTATTCAGGAAAGCAAATTTTCATAATAAACATCAATTTCTATTCATTTCATCGTCTCTTCCTTAAAATTTTAGTATAGTCTAGGCTGCCTGAATCATTAATGATAACAATTCTGGGTTAATGTGTAGATGACTGTAGCTTTTTATATTGGTCAGAAATGTGTGCAGCTGTATTGACAATAGAATGGCACTACTGAACGTTTGTGTCCTGATTTTCCAAATGAATTTTGCAAAGCTTCACTTTTGCTTTTGCACTGCATTATTCTGCCTTTTCATAACCTTTTTGTTTCTTCTCACACATTCAGTGCTTCTAGGATGAAATTATTCTGGTCCCATTTGATTTGATTAGAGTGGATATCAAGGCAGATTAAAGTACTCTAGATTTTCTCAGCATCTATTTGAAAAGACAAGTCATCCCTTTAAACTCACAAGTACTTGTTTATGCAAAATGGAAATAGATTTCTACAAACTGGCAAGAGCAACAGTAGGACCAACAGCCAAAGCAACAAAATATCTCTTTAAAGCCTCCACCTAGTTCCTTAGAACAAGCTGTACATCAGTAAAGGACAAAAGGTTTATTACATATGATTGTTTTTCAAGAGTTATTAAACAGAAGAAGTGATCCATCCATATCGTTGCATCCAAATTATTGGCCAGTTCAGGTTTAATCATGGTGCATGTCAGAAGACACATCCAGCTGTCCAGTAGCCTGTTGGTAAATGTGAATGTGAAGAAACACATTCATTGTATATCTGGAGTAAACATTGAGTAATCAGCTGTGGAAAGCAGCATGTGAACATTGTTTGCTAACTCGAAGAATACTGTGTACTGAAATTTACAT